GACAGAATGAATGTAGACAAGGTAAAGTCTTAGGGTTGGTATAGTGGTCAAGACACACAGGACAGGTGAGCCGCTCCTCCAGTTTGAGTCTGAGACCAGAAGATGGTTTAGTTGCCATTTCAAGAAAAAAATACAGTTGTGTATGTAAAGCACGAGCAAAAAAATGAAGAGAGATAAAGGTAGAAGACAGTAAATGAAGATAGAGCATGAACAGACAATAAGAAAATGAAGAAATCTGAATTCACAAGAAAGTAGAAAAAAGTAGAGCAATAGAAGAAAGGAGCAACAGGAAGACAGCCCTGATATAGTAGTCTTGTGACTGAAGGAAGCTATGATAGCACTATAATATTTATGGCAGCGAGCCAGCAACCTAACCTTTACTCAAAATATGTAGAGTAAGTACATATACATGTCTTTATGCTGTGTAAAAAGTTTAAGGCAATTCTGACAATATTTTTCAAGTTATGAGCATTTTTTAAATTCGCAAATTTTGAAAAATACTTAAGGTATGGTTAGCCCATGGTTTTTTTCAAAAAATTGCTCCAAAATCACCCCAAAATTTTATTGCAATTTTTGATACACATCAATGTACTTATGCTGTGTAAAAAGTTTGAGCCAATTCTGACAAATATTTTATGAAATATTAAATTTTTTCCCAAAAAACATTACCTCGTACAGCTGGTGTCTTCATAGCAGTCAGTCCTCTGTTTATCTCTTTCACTTCATCTTCACTCATCAACTGATCATCAGTTCTTAATACTGGAGGGACATCACCTGTGGAGAGCTTCCTTTCTGCCTATTAATAAATATATTTCATTTCATTACTTATTACTGTTAATCCTACATCTCAGTGTACTCTTTATTTTTTCATAATAATAACTGTTATCAATATTATCATTATTGTTGTGGCACAATTTGAATTGACCAACATATTATTGCATAATTGGAGATTACACTACATCTTATTAGTAGCTGATCAGTCAGTATCATAATACTTTTATAATAATTATAAAAAAATAAATTAAAATAATCATTGTTTTCAATAAATAACAAGTCGGTAATTATTATAATCACAAGCATACAAGAATCCATTTTTATCAAATGCTAATCCACAAGGCCCATTAAACTTATCAATAATACTGCCTTTACAT